ACTTTCGAGGTGTTTGATTGTATCACCCCATGTTTTAGTGATGTTATTTTCAATGTGTGTTGTAACCCTACTTCAATATTAACAAAAGTTGCTTTTGTGGTTTTGGTCTTTTCTTCTGGTATCATTTCCTAAATTAATGGTTTCAATGACATGCGAAGAGAGATGCAACTTTTGCATTATATAGTTCACCTAAATTAGCACATAAATAGTTAGCAATATTTAAAACTATCCAATAATTGAAATTAGTGAAATATAAGATAAAAGGAAATCGATTATATTGCCTTCAATAACTTCTAATGAGTAGTTCATGAGAGCTATTTCAACTATTGCATTTTTTTTTCTTTTTTTTTTTTTTTTTTTTTTTTTTTTTTTTTTTTTTTTTTTTTTGGATTTACTATGTTTCGATAAATTCATCTTTATGTGCAGGTTAGCTTAACTATTTGTTTTTTTTTTTTCTTAAATAAAAATGAGGAGGAGTTTAACCGTCCAGCTTTTAGATCAATAATTTTTAACTTCATTTTGATAAGTGTTCATCATATAATTATGTCATTTAAAAGAAAAAAAAACTAATGCAGCTCATAGCACAAAAGGGTTTTATGGAAGAGATGAAATATGAATGATATACTCTTGCGAAGGGTACACAAGCTTGTTTCAAAAATCATAAGAGTATATTTGAAACTAAATTGAAGAAGACAACACCTAAACATTCATATTTACATGCATCGGCTTATGACATAACTGTGTTATGTGTGAATATCAATCTTCGGATGTTAGATATTAAAATACATAAGAATTGTGTGGTATGTACGTAAATTCCCCCCACCCCCTGCATGAAATGAATGATCCTGTAATTACAGCCATCCAATGGTTAATCATAGAAGTAAATGAGCAATGATCCTGGTACTGTAACAATTAAATCATTTCCTTCACAACTCCCACATCATTAAGCAAAATCAATATATAAAGGAGAATTGGAGGGCAAGCAAAAAGTAACAATGGAGGATTTCCAAATCAATCTACCTAGCTTGAAAAATTTTTGTTCTTATAAACTTTATACTTAATAGTCATCAATTATATCCAAGCATGTTTACTCCAAATACAACTCATGAATCATTGCAAAAAAAACTAGCCATTTTAAGAATAATGAACGTATAATATCCACCATTTGAACAGGCCCAACATACAAGTAACATTTTTGAAACTAAATGAAAAAAAAAAAGACCAACTTGTGCTGCTTCTTCAAATGGCAATAGACTTGTAATTATCATCTTTAGCAATTAGTTTTCTACAAATCTCTTCAAACAAATTCGATAATTATACAAATTATGACAAAAAAAGGTATTTATAATATTATAGTGAAAATGTGTTAACGAATATTAATACATTAATTGATGTAGAACAAGTGCAAGAAAAAATATGAGAGCATGAAAATATTTGCTTAATCTGATTTACAAATAATAGAAGTTATCATGAAAATTCTATAATTGATTTTCATTTAATTTTTCGACCCATTAAATCATTGTGAGTTTTTTTTTTTCTTGGAATTACCATGAAGAGTCAATACTCCTTGTGAGTTCCTATCATCACGAAAATTTTATGATATCCAGCATGCACGGGATGGACAAAAGAAGATCAAGTCACTCGAGTGTTCAAAGTTTGTATTTTGGTGTTTCCATGAAGATAAGGCTTGTGAATATTTGCAGAAATAACAAACATGTAAAATGACAAATTTCCGCATCTATGAATTGGCAACCATGGTTGAAATTGAAAATGCATGAAAGTAACCATTAAGTGAGTCGGATGGCTAGGTCAGTAAATGAAATGATGCACTTCATGAACAGCTCAAACTCGGCATGATCAAAGGTCCGTTTGGGGCAGCTTATTTGGTGCGGTGGTGTTTTGAAAATGCACCTGACATGTTTGGATAAACTGCGTTTTGACAGCATATGCGTTTTCAAAACGCTGAAAACAGCGTTTTCACACCGCACTAGACAAATGCGGTGGCAGCTTTCTGGCTGCAGTCTGGCTTTTCAAAAAAAATAAAAATTTGTAATAGCTACCGCACTAAGCTTATCAGCAGATTATTTTTAATCAGTTTATCAACAAATTATTCAATAAGCTGCAGCTGCCCCAACCAGACCCTAATACTCAATCATGCTCGTTAAAATTAGTAAATAAACAAGTTTAAAGATTTTTTTTAAAACTCGAACATTATAGATGTTCACAAACAAGCTCAGTTGTCATTCAACAAATGACTTGTTAGATGTTCTATACTTATTTAAAAAAAAAATTATTACCTAAAACTTATTTAATTAAATATTTAAGAGTAACATATTATAATTTAGTATCAATATACATATAAATTTAACCTATTTTTTTCTTTTTTATTTCAATGAACTAGCATGTTAGTACTTTTTATATTAAATATTATTTATAAATTACATATAACTTCATTTACTAAGTATAAACTAGTTAGATGCTAAATAAAAATTTATTCAATCATTTATAAATTTAAATTTGTAAAATAACTTATTAATTAATAATTTTATATAAAAATTTGAATATTCGTTCGAATTTTCAACGCTTGTTTACTAGTGTTATATAAAAATTATGAGAAATTACGTATGTAACACGAAATTCTTATGTATTTACCTATCTAGCACCAAAACTTTGATATTTATTGCATACCACTTTACCTATGCATGAAAAGGTTGATTTGACTTGTAAATATAGTGGTAATTAGTGGTAGTTTCGATGTGATAGTATGGTAAAAAATTGATTGGCATGCGGGTAAAAATGAAGATCTGGGTGTGAGATGTAAAATTGTAAATGCATAAGAATTGCGTGCTAGGTATGTAAATGCCCCAAAATCAAATACAAATCAAATTTTTATTTTGTATGAAAAATGAAGTATTCATTCAAATTCTTAGTTTATTCAACTAAGATAAATAAACCAAGTACAAATCAAGTATGAACATTAAAAATTTAAACAAATGAAACATGAACATATATGTGAAAGCTCGGCTCAAATTTAAATTGAACATGAGCAATTTATGATTTGACCAAGCCAAGTCCAATCCATGTCATACTCGACTCGACTGGGCTCAATTACAATCCTAGGGATGGCCGTTGCAAGTTCTTAAGCAAAGAAGATGTTAGCAAATTTTTGTAATTTTTTTATGCATCGGTTGACCCCATCTTCTTCCTTTTTGTAAATTGTAATGTCATATGAGTCTTTATATATTGAATGGAATGAACATGAATTTCTTTAGGAATGGTTTTACTTGAAGGTTGGAATTAGAAGTTCTCTCTAAGAGTTTGGTGCTTTTCAAAAAACATATATAAATAAATAAATAAAAAATTTTGGTACGATAATTCAAGCTTTCGCTTTTGGGCATTAAATGGTTAAACTCTCTCCAACATTATTATTGTATTATGAGATGAAAATATTAAAAAAATATAAAAAAAATCAC